TGATGGTATCTTTAGGCACTTCACCGTTTTCGCCCCCAACTCATTGGAAACAGACATCGATTTTCCTCGGTTGTTTTGCACCAGCAACGAAAGGGGTGCAGTTTGAATGCCAAGTTACGTTGGAGCGAGCAGGTCCGACGTCCCGGCAATACGCTATTACAGTAGAAACGTGAAGGTTGGCCTTACCGAGATGACTACTGTATAAAACGTTCCTCTATAGTGCTACGTGTTGTTGTTGTTGATTAATTCAGCGGGGTGCGGTAGGACAAGTGCCGTTGTTTGAATTTTTTTGGAGCATGCTCAGATTTGACGAGAAGGAAGCTAGCAGGCTCACTGGTATTTGCTGGTGGAGTGGTATTCCTGCGTAACTCTTGTGTGGTCTTATTGTTGTTAGGAGACATCGGCCATGAATGTGGATTTGCATTTTTGCGTCTGCTGAAACCGATGGATTATTATATAGAAAAGTATGGTACATGCTTTTACGGCTTGCAGAAAATGTATTTACTTCTGGAAAAGCAGAGGAATAGGGGACAGGTGGGAATAGGGTTGTTGTTGTTACAGTTGTTGTTCTATTTGGTATCTATTCATGTCCTAGTAATCTAATATATCGAATAGATATATGTGATATTGTTAGTCTACGTTTGTGGATATAGTAATAATATATAAATCTATGGAGATTAAAATAGTTGTCGTTGTATATGTGCCTGTTACTGTTGTATATTTCTCGTTACTGTTGATGTTGTTGTTACTGTTGTATATGTTGTTGTTGTATAAGTTGTATATGTTCTTCTTCTTCTTCTTCTTGTTGTTGTTGTTGTTGTTGTTGATGATGGAAGGGGCCGTTTTTGGTAGGATGGTGCCGGGTTGGCGAATTTGAAGATGAACCCACAGCAGGGACAAAGGTAGTAGTAGTAGTAGTAGTAGTAGTAGTAGTAGTAGTAGTAGTAGTAGTAGTAGTAGTAGTAGTAGTGTTGGAGTAATTGCGAGATGTGGGTGTAGATATATTCATCGAGATAGAGTGTCTGTGACACACGACTCGATAAGGGAGCTATTCAAGAGGGTCATGGAGCAAGCTGAGGGGGCTTTGGAAACGGCTGGCTTGGGAGGGCTTGAGCCTGACCAGATGGATTCGGAAATACTCAAGATGAAGGTAATAGAGCAGTCGAGGGTTACAGTGAGGGGAGTATGCACATGGGTAACGACACGAAGAGAAATGAGGAAAATGTGGAGAGTTGTCGTTGGTTTTTATACACTTATACCTGTGAGAAAGCTCCTGAGGTGAGCTTAGGAAAGCAAGCATATACTTATTCCAACTCATGTGCATCAAGTGGCTGAGATGGGAGTTTACTACCTCGGCAAACTAGTCTGATTATATCTGGTATATTCGTATAACAATACGTTAGCGTCCTACTGCAAGGACGAGGGGGTTTATATCATCCGCGATCTCCCACAATGCAGTGGAGTGTTTTGTTGGGTTCGGTAGGAAGGAGACATTTCCGAATTTGTCAGGTGCCTTATACTGGTGAATGCTTCTTGGGCCATGTTCGCTATGGTGAGGGATAAGGTTCTTCAGGATTGATGAATTTTGTGGCGCGCGGTCATGGTCAGGCACGGACTCTCTGAATAGCTATCGTGAATGCCATCCTGTTATGAGATCATCAAATTGGATGTCGAGGAGTTTGCTGGTGGCTGGAAACTTCAATATTACCAATACGGAGGAGCTCTTCCGTTCTTTGGTGGGCCGAGTTTTTCGGTGAGGTATGAATTTTGTGGCGCGCGGTCAGGTGGAACTGGGTCAGCATCCGGTAGAGTTGTCCGATACTGTAACGCTATTGGAGAAAATTGGGCATTATTTGGATAAGGAGAACAACGATCTGATTGTTAAGTAGGATAGTGACGACATCGGGACTTGGGGAATTTCGTGGCGTGTGCAGGTATAGCGCTGCGGGGCATCCACCGCGGGAGTGTATGAAGCTTGTAGGTGCTAATATTAATCTTATCAAAGTCCTGAGGAAGGCTCTAGACAGGATAGATGGGGGGTCGGTCAGTAGTTGTGTTCAACTGGAGGGCAGGATGTATAGTGTCGGTAGATATGCATTGACTGGTCTCCTTGGGCATGGGGATGCTTTTGTAGTGCGGGACCCTAATGGGATCAGACCAGCTTTCTACTATCATGATGATGAGGTGCGTAGTGGAGTAATCGTAATTCTTCTGTTGTGATGGTCATTGCATATTATAATACCTGGAAACTGCTATCGTAGTACATAGTATATATCACTTTGAATGTACTGTAGTCTACGTTGTTCGTATTAGTATATGGTGATCGATAGAGAGCTATCAGCTATTTATTTAGTTCTCACATCTAATTAGGCTTATTCTGTGGAAGTTTGTTTGTGAAATTATGCGTATTCGAAAAGATATGCACTATTGCCCGTTTGGACTATCAAAATCGAACACACCGTATGTCTCATGTGTTCAAATGTCATAGAGCAGGGATGAGAACTGATCTGAAATCGCAGTCATCTCGGGGTGTCAGAGTTGACACATTTATGAGGAATGTATGAATGAAGTGAATTCTCGTAGGAGTAAGAGCAATGATCGCCCCCCCCCCCGGATGGGTCTTCGCTCGGTCGTTGTATACGGTTGGTGTTTGGTTTCAGATTGTGGTTGTTGCATCTGAGGCACCGCTGATTCGAAGTGTTTTTGGAGTTGATAAGGTTGACTCTGTACCGGCAGGAGCAGCACTTATAGTCAAGGCGTCGGGACAAGTGTCAGTGGAATGTAAGAATTTGAACGAGAAAAATGGAGAACCCGGGCATCGATCCCGGTGCCTCTCGCTTGCTAAGCGAGCGCTCTACCATTTGAGCTAGTCCCCCGGATGAGTTCCGTTCTCGACTTTTGCTGCCGTCAGGTGTACTCCCGGCTGCGCCAAAACTGAGTCAGTGCTCATTTGAAAGGATATATTTTTCGAGAGGGAATGACGCTGACGTGAGGAGCGGCTCTGAGGCTCCAATGTAAGGCGTTGACTCATCGACTCGACCATTCAGGTCTATCGCGAACGGGAGAGGCTTGGACGCTTGCTTGCCACTAGGACACTTGAAAGGGTCGGGTGAGTAGTTGGGTGTTGTGATAACAGAAGTGTGTTATATTCTAGCTCCACTTTGCAAGTCGTTTGTGGGTGTTGGTCGGCTTGGGCATGAGTATGGTTTCAGGGAGGTCGGGGGTACTTTCAAGAACACCGTATTCTCTTTCATCCCGAATACCTCGGAATTCGCTTTCTATGGTATGGTCAAACAGCTTAGAGAGGACCTATACCGAGAACAGAGGAAAGCTATGGAAACGGGCACCAATTTAGGGGTAGGGCCGTTGAGACGAATTGAGTGATAGCAATGGAATGATTGTCTTGTTCGTATTGTAAGTAAACTGAAAATTTGCTGTGTCGAAGGGATTCCATTGCTCGTGCTCATCCACTGTCGCCTCCGACTTGTCTTTGATGTGATCAGGTTATAGACCTTGAAGTTAGGGAGGAGAAGGTGGTGCATAAGGATGCGAAACTTAGTGGGGAATGGATTGGGGATGCGGATTGTAGTTCGCTCTCAGGGACGTTCATCCAGGAGGATTCAAGTCGAAAGGCGATGACGATGCATGCGTATGATGTGCACTATGGCACTGTGAAGGAGGGGGAGGTGCTGGTGGCCTTGGACGACTCTATTGTAATACTGATGAGGGGAGTATCCGGAGTCATCACAGAGTTAGAGGTTCGTTCCGGCTTTTATGGTATCAGGTCCGCGGCAATACATTGAAGAATGCGATTTTGAAGACACTTGAAAGGCTGAGGCCTTCCTCTATCGTTATAGTCTCCTCGGCCCCAATGATATGCTACCCGGATCCTTACGGTGGGGGCATCTTGAGCTCCACTTCGACTGTCCAAAACGGCTTTAATCGATCAGGTATTGACATGGCAAAGTTAGCGGACTTTGTTGCATTCAAAGCGGCGATAGCGTTGTTGAGGAGTCGAGGGAAAGAGGGTATCATAGAGGAGGTTTATGAACAGTGCCTTCAAGACGCGGAGTCAGATGTGAATTATGTGAGCATGGTCTTGGCAATTTCGGGGCGAGCGAGATCTTCAGAGGTGGCATTTGTTCTGTCAGGTGAAGCGGATTTATGAGGATTTTACTCAACGGGAATTGGAGGATAAAATTGCGGAAATAATCCAGCCTGAAAATTGCAAGGCCCGCGTTGAAGTAGTGAGCGGAGCGAAGCGGGAAGGCCAGACTATGGGGCTTAGGTCGTCTTCCAAACTGTGGGGAAACTCCACGAGGCTATACCGGAGCATTTGGGCGACTGGTAGTGGTTGGTGTTGTTGTTGTTCGGGGATTGAGTAGAGCTTGAAGGTACTTTACTGGAAACTACCCAACCTTGGGAGGCGCGGTGGTTTGTAAGAGGGCCTTCACGTTATGGATGGAAGGGCGTGGGGATGAGCGGTGTTATGGTGTATCTTCGGGAGGAGGAACTAATGTGCGGTATCAGGGTTGGACTATATGGTCGCTCTCCTCAGCTGCTGAGCTCATGAGTTCTCTCACTGATCGTAGGAGTTTATAAACGAGTTGGGCTAGGAGTCCACAGGGATCAGCAATAATTTCCACAAATTTGCTCTCAGAATTTTCGTATTGTCACCAACACATGTAGTTGACCATGTGCATAGTTCCCCCCACACTGCACTGTATGGGGTGATGTTGTTGTAGTTGTTGTTGTGTAGGTATTGGTAGTGGGGTCGGGGGGACGGGAGCATGCTTTGGCTACTGCTATTGCGGCTAGTCATAAAGTGAAGAGAGTCTATGTTGCTCCGGGCAATGCAGGGGAGCATGAGAAAATAATGAATGTGATGGGTGTGGGGTTCGAACCGGGGTCGTTGGGTTGAAAGTCGGATGCTTATCGAGTTGGACTAATTCTTTGCAGATACCTGCATCGAATGCCTCGAAGGATGCCATTGTTGCATATTGCCGTAAGAAGCATATCAGTTTGGTGGTGATAGGTCCGGAGCAGCCCTTGGTGGAGGGCGTGGGGGATGTATTGCAAAGTGCAGGGGTAGGGGGGAAGGGCAGTATTGGAATATATGTTGGCTTTCCTAAACTGGGTTTTCGGATGTCCTCAGTAATTATATGAGAATTCGGGTAGAAGTGTAGAGAAACCAATGAGAATTCCCTCGTAATTTTCATATTGTCATCAACACAGTATGTAGTTGACCATGTGCGTATTTTTCGTTCACTCGAGTACTGACAGATCCCAGTATTCGGTCCGACCGCAGCAGCAGCTGAAATTGAAGGCAGCAAGGCTTGGGCGAAGGGCTTCATGAGGAGGCATGACATTCCTACTGCGGAGTTCGTCACAGCAACGACCCTAGAGGAGGGGGAGAAGGCGGTGGAAAAAATATGCAGTAGTGGGGATTGAACCTGGGTCGTTCGCATGAAGGTTTGTATGGTCCAGGTGATGGAGGTGGAGTTGTTGTGAAGGCCTCGGGGTTGGCTGCTGGCAAAGGAGTGATCGTAGTGGATACGGTTGAGCAAGGGAAAGAGGCTCTTCGGGAGATCTTCCGTAAGTCGAAATACATCCATTTCCTCTGCCAGATTCACCCTATGTATTGATCGTGGGGTTACTCTTGGGTGTGCATTGGAGTTTCAGAAGTGGCGTTAAACTTTGTGAAATACGCGGTGATATGCAGTAGTCGTGAAATATGTTTTTCACTAGTGTTACTAGGGGGGTGAAACTCCAGTGTATGTTTTTTCTATCTACCCAGTGATGCGAAATTGACAGTAATTCTCTACTGCGCTTCTCCCAGTCCTAAAAGTTATGGATATGTGTCCGTCCTTTTTCTATCCAGGTCTTTACGGCGGCCCTGTAGTAGTGGAGGAGCTCATGGAGGGTCCAGAAGTTTCTGTTTTCGCCCTCACCAACGGTCGCAATTTTGTTGTCCTGCCACCTGCCAGAGACCACAAGAGAGTGTAAGTTGCATTCAGCAGAGGAGGTCGCTAGAATGCCGCTTTAGTT